GGGGAGGATTTGAAGACGCTAAAGCAAATCTCCAACTTGAAAATTTTTTTGGCGTGTCATTGTGCGACATTTATTCCGCATTTACCACCTCATCAAGCGATCGTTTCTTTCAACCAAGATGTCGAATCCTCCAACCTGCTCGTTCAGAATATATACAGAAATTTATTCGAATCGCAACAAACGAAAGAGGAATCTCCCTTCTCTTGGAATCGGATGGATCGAGCTTTGAGACGGCCCATTCAAACAGACCGGCGATATACAGATCCGCGCACGAGTTTTCGGTGGAAGAATATTTTTCTCACGAAACGATATTTTACGTTTGGAGTGAGAACGACGGCTGAGGACGAAGTTCATATTGTTCAAACCACAGCCGCTCCTCTCGCCTATTACGAATCATCGTCCCCCAATCTGAAGGAAAGAAGTTTTAAAGTCAGCGACAGGATGAAATATAAGAAATATATTCTAAGACCTTTTCAAAACTATGTCGTTCCCCCGAAAACGCAATATCTCATCGTCACAACCCAGAAGAGTCTCTTTCTCGTCGATCGGTGCTCGTACTCGCTTTGGAAACAATTGAAAGAGGAGATTTCTTTCCAATCGCCGATGATGTTTCAAGAAAAAGAAGAAGAAAACCCTCCGCCACCTTTACCCATCCCTTCCTTAGATGATAAGAGGAGCTGGACCAAACCGTCGTCATGGCCCGAAACAAAATCGACCCGGCAACGGAATGAAATTGAAGTCATCACAATTGAAGATGAGGAGGAAGAAAAAAAATTACCTCTTAAAAAACGGTCGACTTACCGGAACCTACCTGGCGTGCAAGATCCGCTTCAGAATCCAGAAGCTTCTTCTTCTTCTTCTTCCCGACTTGTTCAAACAGGCAACCTCTTTCGGACTCCTCACAGACAGAACCTCTTCCAGTATCCTCTTCTTCTTCTTCTCCAACCTGTCCCGACATCGTAGAGGTAGAATGTCAGACGGGTCCACAAGCTTCAAAAAGTCCCGACATCGTAGAGGTAGAATGTCAGCCGGGTCCACAAGTTCCAACAGGTCCAGAAATCATGGAGGCAGAATCACAGCCGGGTTCACAAGTTCCAACGGGTCCAGAAATCATGGAGGTAGAATTTCAGCCGGGTAAACAAGTTCCAACGGGTCCAGAAATCATGGAGGTAGAATCGCAGCCGGGTCCAGACATCCTAGATCCCTCCACTCATCCCAAAGAGACTCCAAGTGTTTCAAGACAGCCTTGTGAGGATCCAGCCCTTCCCGTATGGAATGATTATATGGACTTACAAAATTTGGTGCAACAGGAAGGAGAAGAAAATAATCATACGGATGGGTGGGTCAAAGACTGTTTAGATCATTTAACCTCGAATGAAATTGAACTGTTATGGAATTGCATTTCTGAAATCACATCGGAAATGGGATAAAAACCAAAACAAAAAAAAAAAACATTTTTTTAATAACAAATTGGAGGAGGGTCATGATGTCAATTAAAAAAAATATTATATAGAGTCCAATCTTGGTGGTTCACTTCAGTTTTCCAGCATGAGGTGATCCACGTTTCCCGAAATATGGATCCCATTCCAAGAGAGATTGTGTAGAGCCTTCACTTCAGTTCTTTTTTTTTCCTACCAAGAGGAGAGGGTCCCCAAAGGGCTACCCATGTCCAAAGAGAGAAAGTGTAGAGCGTTCATTTCAGTTTTTTTTTCCAAGTTTAGGGGAGGGAGGAGGGAGGTCTCAAAATGACACCCCCCCCATTTTCAAAGAGAGATGGTGTAGAGCGTTCATTTCTGTTTTTTTTCCAAAGTTAGGGAGTTTTCAAATGGCTACCCATTTCAGAGAAAGAGAGAGAGAGAGAGAGAGAAGGTGTAGAGCGTTCATTTCAGTTTTCCAACATTAGAAGGTCCCAAAATACCTTCTGAATTCAAAGAGAGATCGTGTAGAGCGTTCATTTCCAGTTCTCCAAGATCAGAAGAAGAGGGTCCGCTTTTCCCAAAAGGGCTTTCCGCATTCAGAGACAGCGAAATGCAGACTTCAGTTTTCTCCCTCCCCAAGAATAGAGGGTCCCAAAATGGCTTCCCATTTCAAAGAGAGAGGGAGAGGCGTTCATTTCCATTCTCCAAGATAGGGTCGTCTGCTTTTTCCCAAAATGGCTTCCCAATTCAAAAAAGAGAGAGAGAGAGAGTAAAAGGGTGTGTAGAGCGGTCATGTTCATTCTCCAAGATAGGGTCGTCAGCTTTTTCTCAAAATGGCATCTCCCCATTCAAAAAGAGATCGTAACCAATTTTTTCCAGTTTTTTCCAAGATGGGGGGGAGAAGAAAGAAAACCTAGGATGGAATAACACGACACACAGAGAGAAAGAGAAAAAAAAACGCCATCTTGTCATTTTTGATAGGGTACCGATTTTTGACGACTTATAAATTTGAAATGAATTTTATTGTTTGAAGGCTAATTTTTTTTTTAAAAGCAGAGCCCCGCCCTCCGTACTCTGTTATATTCATCAGTACTTGAGTGCGGTTAAGGGATTCTTAGATATACGTCGGTTAATTCATAATGGGTGATAATTCATCTTTTTTATTATGGTAAAGACCGTTTGCGTTCCAAGAGAGGATTTTTATGTTGCATCTATTCTTGAATTTATTAGAATTAAAGATGATTTCCTATTTTTTCAATGATTTCGACTACTGCGATTATTTTATCAAGAGGTGATTTCTTGGTTTTAATGTTTTTGAGTATTATTGTCCAGGTTGTTTTTTATTTGAGTAGGTATTACTATTGTCCAGGTTGTTTTTAGCGAAGAGAAGTCAAAGAGGTCTGACAGGGAGGATTCTGCGGTGCTGGTAGTTTCTTCTGTTAGATTTTCTGAATGGAGGTTTGTGCGAGATTTTCGTTACTGTTTGATGTCAGCGGAGGAAAGTCTTGTCTTCTGTTAGTCCAGGGATTGGTTGCTGGTGGAGGACTGGGTTGGAACTGAACTTGTTTGTTTTTTGGTGTGGCCGGGTAATTTGAGAAGTTGACTGGGTGAGGACCTTTGCAGTGATAATATATGGCTAGCTGGTCGCGACTACGGGTGCATTCTACAGGTTTATGATTGCCTCCGCAACGAACGCATACCCAGTCTCTGGTGCAGAGCAGGGAACTGTGAAAAAATCCTTGGCATCTATAGCATTGTGGAGGGTCAGGTTTCTTGCGTAATGATTCTATTGTTACGTTCATATAACCTATGCGTTTGATTTTGAATACTTCTTTATTTTCTTCTGATTTTGGTATATGTACTAAGAAAAGCGGCATTGGTTTATTTTCTTTTCTGTTTCTTAATAGTGTAACAAAGTTAACCTTGAATCCTTTGTCAAGAAGTTCTTGAGTAATGGTTTGGGGATCTGTGGTGATGGGTAAGCCTCTTATTATGACTTTTAAAACTTTATCTTCGGGCAATAAGTAGGTGTGGGCTTTAAGCTTTGTTTCTTCAACTATTTTGCGAACGAATCGATGTAAGTCAGAATCTGCAAGTTGTATTTCAAGGCGGCGTCCTTTTAAGGTGCCAGTTATCTCTTTTCCGGTTTGCTTGTTTAAGTTTTTTAAGAATTCATCCGCTTTTGTTACGTCATCTACGACAATAATTGGCACTTTATCAATTCTGCTTGGTTTGGGGCTGGAGTTTGGTTTTCTATTGGCGGGAATGGTGTCACTTTTGTTTGGTTGGTCTTTTGGGGTGGTAGTGAGCTGAGTGGCTGATTCATCTTCGTTGTCCAAATGCATGTCGTCTATTTGGTTCTCTAATTGTTTATATCGATTGCTGGTTTTGAGCGAAGGCTCCTCATCGGAGTCAGAATCCGTTTGTCTATGGCGCAATTTTCTTTTTCTTTATTCTTTGAAACCACTAGTGGATTGAAGTATGTCGCAGATGTTTTTAATCTCTTCAAACTGTTTAGTGAGCTTTTCGTTAGAGTCTTGTAATTCGTTTATTTTTGCATTGGCCATCTCGTTTTCCTGCATACGCAGTTGATTAATGGCGTTTACAAGGAGAAAGTTTAGTTCTTCTTGATCGCTAGAGGACATAATCACATGTGGGTCGTTACGGATATCTTGGATATCTTCCACCAAGGATCTGGTAGTTTCGACGTCATTGGATAAAGTAATTTTGTGACTTAATATTTGGAGAACGTTGGGTTCATCATTGAGATGTCTCATGTGAGGATTTTCTGAGTTTGGAGGTGAATTTTCCATGTTTGTGTTATTATTAGTTACAGTTATGTTTGTTGTGTCATATTGATTAATCATGTGAGGCATATAAGTTGGAAAAAGGCCTAATTAGAGGGCCGTACCCGAAGGTACCCTTATCAGCACGGTGAATAAAGAAAATCAGAAGAAAGAATAAAATACGACCTGTTTTATCCAGCGAAGGGTGCAGCAGTGGAATTAAGGCGACGCTTCTGCGAAGCGAAAGCCAAAGAAAAACAACAACAACAACAACCCAGAGCCCGTGAGGCGAGGTCGATGAACTCGGTACAGTAGCGGGGGGTGGCAGCAACGCAAGGAAACGGAAAGCGAAGCGAAAAGACGTCTATCTCGAACTCTGTCCCACCTCGGAATGATAATTTTACATGACACAATGTAGTATTCAGATTAGTTTGATTAATTTATTAGTCGAAGAAATTAGATCAGATAAATTATCTTAAAATATGTAATACTATGACAATATAGCATTAATGTTGAGGAAAAAGGAGATTATTTTGTAAAGTTTTTATTAAATAATGAAGCTTAACTTTATTTTCAAAACTTATATTTAATCTCATCAAATACAAATATGCTTTTAAAGTTTGTGAGCTACAGTTGAAACTGTCGTTGATAAGTAAGAAGAGACACTACATTGGTACGTGTTAAATTTTCAGTTAAAAATTACGAACAATATTATCTTATAAACTTAGCTCAGATAATGCAATCAGGTAGAGAGCGCTGTCATAAATGTACTGTTTGAATTCATTCTCTATAAAGAGTTTCTTTATTTGTACTTTATTCAAAAGGCGCATCACTAAACTCCGTCATCAACAATCTGATTATCATGGAAGCTCTGTATTTAACAGCAGAAAAGTTTAAGTTACCTAATGCTGGAAAGTGTATGGTATGATTTGGTTTATATTTCTGTTATAGATGTTCGTTTCTGGAATTAGATATAATAGCAGTTTCTGCTTTGTTAAGAGTGTTGTGCGCATGCGCTTTTCGCGCAAGTAGTACTTTTTTGTGATCTGCAACGTCTGTTCTATTTAACCGGTATTGTTAATTTCATTTCACTATAATATTCAATGGCAGATGCTGTTAATGAACAGGTAAAGAAAATTTAAGATAATTTTAAATATTGATAAAATAATAATGTGACTTGGTGCTTCATATATCGCCATATATTGGCCGCGTTTTCCCTTTAAGCCTATTTAAACATCATGCTAAAATAACTGTTTTGTACACTAATATAAAATATATTTGCTGTATAGCTGTGGTTTCAGTTTAAAATTGTTTCGATTAGTTCATTCTGTTTATTTTTCGACTGATTAAACTATCAGCTCATCACAGTAATAAATGCAGATGTTCTGTAGTAAGCAATATTGATACCAGTAATGTCATATAACAAACAATTTGATGAAAATTCCATTATAAAAAGTTGCATATCCTCTGTTTGTTAAATTTTATGTTCCAAATTTCAGCTTTTCAGTATCATTATGCAAACAAAATTAGCTTCTTTTGTTACATATTTAAATGAATCAACTAATTTCTTGCTTCGACTCAATTTTGTCTGTCTTAAAAATATATTTAATAAACACGACGTATTGAATGATATCAGCCGTGTGTTTCCTTTAAATTCTGTATTTAAGAATTAATCAGGTTTTACAATTTATGTGGCATAGTTGTTTTATATAAAGTCGAATGCGGTAAACTTGCGATGCAAGAAATCATAATGGAAATTGAAAGTTTGTTATAGTTAAAAATGAATAAAACTGTTTACTGATATAAAAAGTAATCCTTTGTGGAAATCTTATGCGCATGTAAGTTTTGGAAAAGATGTCTGCTTGGAAAGCAAGATGGAAATGTTAACAGAAATGCTACCGGTGATAAAAAAATCTGTGAAATGAATGAACATTTCTTACCGTATGAACTGATTATAGAGTGCATATAACGTGCATGCAGTGCATTAACAAATATGGCATTAGGAAAAAAACTGTAAACAATGTACGTATTTGAAATCCTGTAAAAAGACCGAAATTTATCAGGAGGTGAAAGGAAGGGAATAATTGTAAAATGAACATATGCAGACAAATATAATTTTTTTCATTATATGTAATGTGTTTATCACATAACTAAAAATTTCTTGTGAGAGTTCTTGTAATTTATATTTTATTTTTACATTTTGAGAAATATGAAATAAAGCATGACATTTTTGTAAATTTGTTCTCGAAGTGATTGTTTCAAAATTTCTCTCCAAGATATAAATATTAATCTTAAATTACGTGCCTGAGTAAGTTAGAATTATTTTTAAGTTTCCAATTTCTGCCTGTGAAAAAATACTGTTTTATCTTTCGCACAGTTTGCAATTTTTAATATGCAGTATTTGCAGTTGGTGATAAATTATTTAAGAGATAACAATTCAGTAGCAATTCAGTTTTTTATTTGATTAGAATGTAGTATGAATGTAGAGTTAGATTATGAAAGGTTTATATATCCGAGATTTTAAGATACAAAATTTTTCATTGAAATTGCGTTCGTTTATGTAATAAATCTTGAGTATACTTATATTTTTAAAGCATTAAAGAAGACTTGTATGTATCAAAATACATTTTATAGGTTTTTCTTTTCTTTTGATAAGTTGTTTATGTAATGTATGTTTAAATTTTCGTCTCTTCTATTTAATTTCTAATAGGTGATTAATAGATAATATAGCCAGATAATAGATAATTAATATCTATTATCTGGCTGTATTATATTATCTGGATAATAGATAATATAGATATAATTATAGATATAGCTTGAATCCTGGACTTTTAAGTTTCTCAAATCTGGAATTTCTGGATTTGTGAAATGTAGACTGTGTTATCAGAATTATTAAATGTAGACTCTATACTCAGAAATCAGCAAATTCAAAATAATTTTTAAATTATGTTTTAGAACAAATATATTGTTTAAAGATTACATAAATTACAACTTTTATACTATATAAAGTTCATTAAGAGGTCAAGCATCTTATCTTAGCAATTTAAAGTAGTCTTATATTAAAAGAAAAGTCAGGTGATCTTTACATTATGGTAACTTGGCTTTTTTTGGCGAAAATTTGGCGACCAACTCTCCTACAGCAACCCTCTATTTTTTTTCCCCGCCGCCATTTTGTCTTCACGAAGTAAAGACATGTTTCTTTTCTTTTTATCTACTGAACACTTCTTCCAACAATCTACTAGCAGAATTACACTTATGCTAGAAATTTTCTCTAACAAAACTGCTTAATCATGACAAATATTCACTGCAAAATTGGGAAAAAGTACACAATACCATACTCTGTTGATCTTTACAATATGGTAACTGGTAGTTTGGCGACATTTTGGAGGCGATAAAGTTTACTACCTGGGACTTTGGTAATAATGTGAGCAGTACTCAGTTCTGATTACACATTATTTTGCGTGAGGGAAATGAGAGATCATGGGATATGTCATGTGATATTAATGGACGAATTACGGTTCTTTAATCAGAAAAGGGGGGAAATCGGGAAAAAATGTGGAAATTTTGTATTTATCTTTATTCTGTGTTGTGTGAAACAGTGTTGTTTAATTTTTGGATCCCATGGCCCTAACTAAAGTGAATTCGAAATGGGTATTTAGGCATTGTGATAAAGAGAAGTTTGCTTTTTATTTAGCGGAGGAAGTATGGAGGAAATATTCGCCAGAAAAAAAATCTTTCAAATTTTTATTGAATGAATTAGAAAAGTGTATCCGCCACGTAATCAAGATTCTGAAGAAGATTAGGTAAGTTAGTATTTTTAATTATTTGAGGATATTATTTTTATGCATTGTTCTAAATGTAAGGTGGAAAGGAATTTGGTATTATTGGGAAAATTGTTATTAGCAATGATTTAGTTTAAAGTAATTAGGATTGTAAGGTAATTTTTATTAATGTAATGTATGTGCTCATTTATATTTTAAGTAGTGTGTTTTGAATTTAATTATATTTTAATGAAATGATAGTTATTTTGTGAATTTTATGTTTGTAGGAATTTGGTATACGTTTAAGTTGAAATAAACGTGCATGGAAATAATTTAAATATTTGATACTAAGTATTTGTAAAGCTTGCGGTATGAATTCGTTGGTGACGTGTATAATGTAATACAGTCAAAAGTCGTTAATTCGGACACCCATAATTCGTACCTCAAAACTGAAAACTTTCTGCGCATGCGCCGCGTTGACACATGCGCATAGGCGTTTATGCGTGCGCGTAAGACCTTTTACGACTGTGCATATGAGTGTGCGCAAGTGCAGAATACGTTTACGCGTGCCCGTTTTATGTATAATGGACGTATAAGCTAAAATTATCTTATTATTTATTTCAGTTAATGTTGATGATTGCGTTCTTCCTTAATTTTCGAATTGGATCCGGCTTATTATTTTTTGCAGACTGTAAGAGCAATTTTATAAAAGTAAGCTTAAACTTTTGATTATATCAAATAGAATTTCCGATATATATTTGTTAATATGTAAAGGATCTAAAGCGAAAGTATGTTTTGAAATCCGAAATCTGTTTATCAATTTCACGCTGCTCGGCGGGGGGAACGCAGCGGCGGGCACGTAATGAATTGGAAGTTGATCTGTCAGCACTATCCTTATCTTCAGCACAGGTGTTTTTATTTTATTTGGTTTATAATTCCTTACCAAATGTAGTATTTCATCTCGATATGCTCCGTCTTTGATATGATTTAAAACAAGTTCCTCGTCATTGTAATTCGCTTCCGATAGCGAAGAAAGTAACAGAGGTTTTTGAAAACGAAAAAATTTCGATTGACAAATTAGTCGGTGTTCTGGACACAGCAATTATAGGACTTGAACAGCGGAACTTTGTAACTGAACAAGAGATTATGTCTGCTTAATAGAATTAAAGAGAAAGTATTATCACATGAAACGAAGCAAAACTTAAACAACTTACATTAAAAGAAATGTTTAATAAAGTAAACAAGTAAATATTAAGCTTTTTCTTTTTGCAAATTTTGATACCCTTTAGATCATGATTGTTTCTTTATTTCAATGAATTAGTTTCATTTTTTAATTTTAGATTCATGCCTCTTACGATTGTTCTTTATTTCACTTAATATTTGAATTTAGAATTTCTGCATGCCATCTTACGAGATTTAAACTGATGATCTATAATCCGGAATCGCCGAAGTTCCAACGAGTCCGGATTAACGACTTTTGACTGTAGATGATTTAGAGGTAAAAGTTTTTGGATATTTTATTTATTTTATATGTGGAAATGTTCATATTTGTAAAGGGTAAATACTTTTTCGCGATCAGGTAATTTCATATATGTTCTTTTTACCGGGTTTAAAGATTGAGAAAATTGTCATGTATTTTCGTGAAATTTTTCTAATTTATGAGAAAAAAAGCAGTGTACATGGATATAGTGAAGAGTGTGCACAATGCCATTTTTGTGCAATTCTGGGATGTTTTTTTTAAGTAAAAAATAAGTCGGCGTGTACATGGTTTATGTGTACGTGTTATTTTGAAAAACGCGTAAGGAGTATGGTATTGTGCACTTTTTCCCAATTTTGCAGTGAATATTTGTCATGATTAAGCAGTTTTGTTTGATAAAATTTCTAGCATAAGTGTAATTCGGCTAGTAGATTGTTGGAAGAAGTGTTCAGTAGATAAAAAGAAAAGAAACATGTCTTTACTTCGTGAAGACAAAATGGCGGCGGGAAAAAAAAATAGAGGGTTGCTGTAGGAGAGTTGGTTGCCAAATTTTCCCCAAAAAATCGCCAAGTTACCATAATGTAAAGATCAACCCCATACTCCTTGCGCGTTTTTCAAAATAGCACATACACATAAACCATGTACACGCCGACTTATTTTTACTTAAAAAAACATCCCAGAATT